TCTTTCCCTCTCCCATTCTCCCTGCTCTTTCATTTCTGCTTCTAAGTAAACTACTAATACCCATATGTTTCTTTAGGAAAGAAAGAAGAGTCCCAAACTATGTCCAGCATCAGGACTTAGGAGAGGAGTTTGACTTGCACTGGGCTATGCAGCTGATGAGGAGAGGAGGAAGTGTTTGCTCCTATTCTTCTGGTTCTGAATCCAGTGACTTTATCTCATTTTCTATTTTCAGTTGTGCATTCAAGATTAAGAAATTACCATGGCTCAGTCATGAGCGTGTAGGCAGTAGGGCACTGCTATATGATGCTGTAACCCATAAGAAAGGCTCTGAGTCTGTGTCCTTGTTCTACGCGAACACACAAGGCATGCTGGCAGGCATGGCCCTGCTCCTGCATGGCTGCAGGGCTTGGGGAAGGATTGTGATATGAAAACCATGTTGAAGGTTCCTGTCCTTCCCTCTTTCTCCCTCACCCTTTCTTTCTCTGTCTCTCTCACTCTTTCAGGAAAAAATTAATAACTTTAAAAAAACTGACATGTCTACCTTTTATTAACGTAACACACATAGAGCAAGTTTTAAAAATACACATTTGAGCACAAAATTAATAATACATGGTAACTATCATCTTTGTTTGGGGTACCCAGATCATCTGCTAGAGTACCATGAAACTTACGCTTTTTTTCCTTCCCTAAAATGTTAAAGTATTACATTTTGCTTTGCTGGCATTGTCTAATTTACTTGAGAAAGTCTATTGTAAATGTTAAGAGTTTTCCAGATGAGAAGCTGAAGTTGTAGGACTTTCAATGCTGCCCAGTTACCTGATACTAGGACCAGGATTAGAATCTTTTCTGTTCTGGCATTTTTCAGCCTTTGCCTACCAAATCCATCTACCAGCCGGACTATGGATTATCCTCAATCATCTGGGCCTTGGCAGGGAACACTTCTTCTAGCATCTGTTCCCTAGTTGTACCACAAGCTTCCTTTAAGGAAAACTAAACTCTCAATCCATGTACTACAGGTCTGAATGATCCACCAGTCATCAGTCCCAAGCTTGAAAAATGACTAGTGCCTGACCAATCAACCAACTCTTGCTCCTCTCCCACTCTGGCCACAGTGGTTGGCTCAGAGAATAAGAAGGGACCTATCTGGCCAAGGAGGGTGACTATGAAGACTACTGGGCTCATAGACAAATAGCCATTCTTTTTCTGGTACAGAGTTAAACTAACAGACTACAAGTCTTAATTGCTTGGTGACCATTTTGCCACCATATTAGAAAAATTTGCCTGAATATAAAGTTAATGAATCAGAGATGTGGGTAGAGACAAGATGGCTGAAGTGACATGGATCTAGTCACCCTTGAATTTAGATTTGCCACTGGAATTTACAGTCATAGGAGCCAGTGCACATGCTGCCTTGTCTTCCCCTTCTGGGCTTCAACAAGTCCTACCTGAAACACTCTGTACTCAAGCATTAAAGAAACTCAGTACAGTTCCTCTCCTCTACAGAAACAAATATCTGTTTTCTACTACCAAGGAATAGGCTGGGAAATCAAGAAACAGAGGCAGAGCTAATAAAACATTGGTAGACTCTTTTGTCCCACTTCAGAGAGCCTTAGGAATGAGGTGCTGAACAAGTCTCTTTATGAATCCATGAGGTAGCAGGTCTCACACAAGCGTCATCACCTTTAATGTGGAGAACTGCTGCCAACTCCACAATCATTTTCAGACCCACTTAGGCACAGCTTCAATTCACAATGAAACTGCACCTGTTCGGAGAAAAGACCTTGGATTGGGAATACTTTCGTTCATCTCTTCTCTTCTTCTTTTCTTTTCTTTCTCCCTTTCTTTCTCCCTCCCTTTTCCTTCCTTCTCCCCCCCTCCTCCCCTCCCTCCCTTTCTTTCTCTTTTTACTTAAAATTGCACAGCAACACTCAGCATCAATATTTTTATACCTGTAAGTTCAGTAAGACTTTCTAATTATTCTTCTACCCCCTGATAAGCTGAATAACAAGAGCTAGAGAAACAGACAAGAGAAAAAAGCTGAAAGCAAGCCAGTATGTACGTGAAAAAACCTTACATTTAAAGGTTTTTTTTCCCCCTTCCCCCCGAGAAAAGTCATCATCAAATATTTACTTCGAATATAACGTTTCAAAGACAGGAGGGCAAGTTTCAAGCCTGAAATGCAGTCAGGCTTGCAGGTAATGGTGTCTCGGGAGTTTTCAGGACACAGAGCAGTCTCTGACTGCGGAAGGGAAATGGGCAAGAAGTAGACAGGTAGGACAGGTTTTACCAGATGACTCGCCAGCAGAGATAGCGGCTGGTCTGTGTATAAACAAGGGTCTCTGAGCTTTTGTTCTCGTTCCTTTTCTATCCCTTTTTCTTCTCTTTTTTTCTTCTTATATTTATTTATTTAATTTATCTTTTGTTTTCTAGACAAGGCTGTACCATGTTGTAATCTTTCTACCTCAGCTTCCCGAGCTGATGTGATTACAGGTGCACACCATTGAACCCAGTTTGTTGGGTGGGCCAGGAATTAAACCTGGGCCTCCCATGTAGCTTCAGCCTGCTGGGTAGAAGTATCAACCAGCATGTGCTACCATGGTTGGGCCCACTGGTCCTTTTTTAAACACACATGTGGTAGAGACATGGAGGTGACTCACTCTAGTTTTACCTCATGTTCAGAATACCTAAGGTTTATGCATTTGGCTTTGAACGTGGCACAAACTTACCTGATAAATTCCACAGAATAGTACTGAATAGCAGAGCTTCCATCACTCTCTCCAGGTTTCCAAGATAGAGCCACCTCAGAATCAGACACCACAATGACATGTGGCTGCTGGGGTGCTGTAGGAGGCAGGCAGGAATCTAGGTGGGATGACAAGCAAAGCTAGACTTGGATGGAGGTCTGAGCTGCTGGAGAGATTGAATACATAATAACCATGCATGCACCCTACAACCTAGACAGGCTCAGCACAGCCTCAGAATCCAAAACAAATATACATTAAATAATAACCACACCTAGATTCACCACATGAGGTATGAGTCAATGAAAGGTCCCTATTCCCCTTGTCCTCTGGAATCCCTGTTTGGAAAGCCAGATAAATTATATCCTTGCCACTGACTTTGGGATATACCATGACAGGCACCCTTTAAAACTGTCAGTCATACTCCCAACTTCCTAACAAATTTTCATCTCTGTTCACATGTCAGAATTGACGTTTACCTACAAGGAAAACTAAATGCTTGGAACGACTGCCATTTACTTTCCATTGTGTGTGTGTGTGTGTGTGTGTGCATGTGTGTGTTTTGCCCCCGATAAGGAGAAGTTATAGTAATGGTAGGACATTTGAGGAATGCCCCCGTGTGTAACCATGTAGGAGTCACTCATGATCCCATCACCTCGACTAACTGCTGTTACTTACTATCTTCACATCCAGATGTGCACATCTACCAGTCTTTGTTCATCCTCTTGCCTTTGCTTGGAAGGCTTTTCCTACCTTTCCATCCCAGCAACATCCTATGCATCTTTTGTAATCCAGGCCAAAGACATGAATCTTTCTGAAACCATCCCTGTGCCTTGGGAGAGAGGCGGTATGAGTGTGTGCCCACAGCCTGTTATGCAAACCTCCAATGCACAGAGATCATTTGCTTACTCTTTGCTTCTCCCTCCACAAATGGCACCATGCAAGCAGTGACCTTGACTGACCCACCTTTGGTCCCCTGTGTCCAACACAGTTGCCACCTTAATGTGCATTTTCTGGATCTTCTTTGCCCATAAATCTCTTCTCGCAAACTCCTTCCTCGCCTTCTTAATTGCCTTTCACCCATCAGATCAACACTTATCTGTCATCTCCTGGGCAAATTCTTCCCTCATCCGCATGTTGTGCATTTCTGCAGCATCGTGGGTAGCACTTATCATTAACTGTGAGTACATCATAATTAGATAATGTCTCAATTTCCTCACTAAGCTTTGAGATGTCAGAGGCTGTGCTTGTTTTTGTTCACCATTGAATTCCCAGAGCCTAGCACTTTGCCTGGTACGTGGTGGGTCTTTACTGATACTCGCTGGATGATGGAATGAGTGAACAGCATCTCAGCACCTTACTGTGATTGAGGAGTTTGAACCTATTTTACCTTGGGACAAAGTGGAAACATGCCGAGGGGAGCTAAGACGCCCTTTGCCAGTCTGGCTGTAAGCTGCTATGCTCACTCGATATTCAGTGCCTGGTTTCAAATCTCCAATCACTTCCTCCTGTTAACAACCAAACAAGAAAGGTACCAATGATCAGAAGTTCTGTTTGAGTAAACTGTGCACCTCCCATAAGGTTTGCATCTTGAGGCTCCTGTGAAATTGTTGGGGACAGATACTGTTTCACATTGTTCTAGGATTGATCCAGTTTTAAGATTTGCTAAATGGAAACACCTTGACATATTTCAGAAGACTGGGGGATTACCTTCTATTAGAATCTATTCACTGTCCTAGAATTTGGACTCGGGCACCTGATCAAAATGTTGCTCTCGACATCTGAATTCTTTGACCAGAGTTCTTGGCTACGGGAATGCAGGCACTGATCTTTCCCAGGTCAGGAATTCCCCAGATCTTTCATTCTATTTGTAGACTGCAGATGTGGAGGAACTAGCACAATGAGGTCTTGATCTGGACCCATTCGGTAAGTTGGACTTCAACTTTAATTCTCCATTTTCAAATAGCACTAGAATCTTTAAGAAAGGATGGTTGTTGATGATAACGTATATGATATCTTCAAATGGACTGCTGTGAAGTGTATTCATGTTGGGTAAATTCACTTCACAAGCTGTAGTGATGTATAGTGATTGCATGTATAAAATAAAATAATAAAATAACTTTTGAGAGGTTTTTGCTATAGGGCACATGTGCTCACCAGAAAGACAGAGATAGACAGAGAGATAGAAAGTGAGAAATCACCCCTCGGGGGGATGACCACGCCGCAATCCCTCCTCCTCCATTTTCTTCTCGGGATCTTAGGCATACACGCACACACACCTGGTGTGAGTTTAAGCCACCGGGTCTGGTACTCGAACTGCAGTTGACTACATAGGAGTCCAGTGACATAGCCATTATGCTAACTACTGGTCCCATAATAAAATAAATTTTTAAAAAATGCAGAAAAAAAGGTTTACTTAAATCAAATTTCTGGACTCATTCCCCAGGGTTTCTGATTCAGTAGGTCTGAAGAAGGGTCTAAGGACTTGCATTTCGAATAGTTCCTAGGTGGTGCTATTGCTGCTGCTGGTAGTCCAGGCAACACCCACTGAAAGTCACTAGGATTGAGGATGGATGGATGTGTGAACTTCCCCTGCACAAATGGCTAGAAAGCCCCAGCTGAAGAGGATTCACTCTGCCTTGGGCTTCAGAAGTGTGTTGTGTCCTCAAGACCCCATTGCTAAATAGTAAGTGAGGGCCTGGGCCCTGTGAGTGAGGAACAGCAGCACATTGTAGTGGAAAGGGCACTGGCATTGGAATCAAGCCATCTTGGCTAGAATCGCAATTCTACTGCTTATTGCCAGCTGTGGTCTTGATATTAAATCCTCTGAGCCTCAGTTTCTTCCTCTGTAAAATGGACATGACATGATCTTGCATGATCATAATGTTTGTGGTCACGTGTATAAAGTAGCCGGTACAGAGAATGTGTTCAAGAAATGGGTTGTAAGGATTATTGAGGGAGGAATGTGGGGCCCCTCCTCTTCTCTGCTCATCTAGTTTTCCCCACTGCTCCAAGGCCCAAGTCTTCCCCTTGACACTGACCCTGACCAGTCTGTCTGGCCATCTTACCCTACTAACTATTGTGCCATCACTTTAGCACTTACATATATATTACAGGTTGTTACTATTTCTCCTCGGGGATTGTAAGCCACTCGAGGACAGGGATCATGTCATAGTTCTTCACAACCTCCTCTGCAAATGATTAGACATTCATTATTGGTAAGGAGAATGAAAAAGACCTCAAAAATGTTTTTAAAGCACGTCACACATAATTATCAAATACTCAGTGTAGTAGTTCTTAAGCCCTGGCTACATGTCAGAACACTTGCAAATATTAACAAATACTGATGCCTGTTCTCCACTCCAGACCTCATAGATCAGTGTCTGGGAGCAGGCCTAGGGAGCTGTTCATTTACCTCTCCTGGTGACCCTAGCGTGTAGTCAAGTTGTGAACACCAGTGGTCTAGCGCTTGGCTCACTCCCCTTTCTCTAATCCCAATCTGTTTTCATCCTCTTTCTGTCATGTATCTACAATCTCTCTTTCTCTCTCTCTCTCTCTCTCTCTCTCTCTCTCTCTTGCTCTCACTCTTATCTATCTGGTCCTTCTGCATTTCCCATGTTAAAGTCTCTGCCTTCTTAGCAACAGTCACTTCCCTACCACACATGCACATCCAACCCATTCCTCAGAGGCAACCTTCTTGAAGTTGTTTCCATTTCCTCATCTCCTATTCACTCCTTAACTTACTCCCATCTAGCCTCTCCGCACTACAGACTTACAGCGATGCTCTGATGTCATTATGACTTTCCAGCAAATCCAACGGGCATGTCTCAGTCTTCACTTGACAGTTTGCAGCTTTCAGTACTGTTCCCCACCCTTGCTTCTTAAATCTTGTGGTTCCCTTGAAAGCCATGACTCTGCCTCTCCTTGGTCTCCCTTCCAGCATCCTCTATCCCCTTCCATATCTCCACTACCTTTAGCTAAGACCTGATTTTTCCCAGAAGCTCATCCTTACCATCTTCTCTTCCCCTTCTGTAGGGGCTACTCATGTAAACTCAACTATTTCACCCTTATATTCTGGAACCACCTTCATAATGACACCTCCAAAATCTGCACCTCCAGCTCTAGTCAGCCTCTTGATTGATCATCAGGCTTGAATACATGATTGCCGTTTAAACATTTCTACCCAACAACTATAAAACATCTCAAGTTCAACATAACCAAACCTCAACTAATCATTACTCCTCCTCCTACCAAAAACAAAATAAATTTCACTTCTTGTGTTCTCTCATTACTGAAGTCAGAAATTCTTAATCTTTCCTTGCTCCTTTTTGTTCACTCCTCCCCCTAACCACCATCCGATCAGTTACCAACAGCTAATTTATCTCTTTCCTATCACTTGAATCTGTTTAGATCATTTCATCCTACAGTCCAAGTCCTCATAAATATGACAACTGGCTCTGATTCTTGCTGACATCAATACTGCTTGTGCCTCCAATCTAAAGTCCATGCTGCTATGCTAGAGTTATCTTCTTAAATCCCAGATCTGATCCTATCAATTCCCACTTTAAAACATCCTTAAAATAGCATTTGTGTCTCCCTGTTTATCCTTCTAGCATTACCCTGTACCACCTCTCCTCCTTACATTCTACATTCCAGTCATACTCAAGAGCTTGGCAGGACTCAAATTTATGCCATTCAATTCCTTGCCTCTGGGCCTTTGAACCTGCTGCTTCCTCTACATGAAATGCCCTTCTCCCTACTCTTACCTCGCTCACCCCTGCTCATCCTTCATGACTCAGTTCAGCTGAGACATTACCTCATTTCTCTGACCCCCAGCCCCCAGTCTGGTTAGGTGCCCCTCCTCTATGCTTCTTTGGTGTCCTTGGTACACCTCAATCTTAGCATCACTCACCTTATGTTGTAATTGTCTGTTTATTTGTCACCTTCATCCCTCCTACCTGAGTGTACAAAGCAAGTTCTCATTCTCCTGGCATCCCGAAGCTTAGCATAGTAGTATTAGACAGATAGCAAATGCTCATGCAATACTATTTGATGAATTAATTGATAAACTAGCAAATAAAGAAATCAAACCAAGATGTCATATGTAAACAGATCACCTCATCAATAAACCAGCTTCTACTACTGAGCCCTCCCTTTTTATTAACAGCATTAGCACCTCTGGCAAGACCCTGGAGTTAGTAACTACAGAGAGCTACTTTCCTCTTGCCCACTTTCCTCCAGCCACTACAAAATGCCTCTCAGATCTGTTCCTGTCTTCCATTTAGGCCCCTTTAATCCCTTACTTTGCTCATTTCTACAGCCCTCTACAGGGTGTCTGTCTCCAACTGGCTCCTCTCTCCCTCACCCTTACTCCATAAACTGCCCAAGGGGTCTTTGCTAAACTCTGGAATCTGTTTGCACAGCTCTTTCTTCCTGCTCTATGTCCCTGCATCTGTGTATGCCTGTTCTACCTTCTGTTCCTGGGTTTCATGTCAAGTTGGGTGTTAGAAGACTAGAAGTAGCAGGTAAATGTAAGACTGCTGTCCTCATTCCTCTATCAACTACCACTCCAGGCTTTTCTCACAGAAGCAGAAACCTACTTTCAAACCAACTCAATCCTCGCACTGACTATTGCTTCAGGATTCTTTCTTTCTTAGGAAGTCATTGTGCTGTGTGAAACATGGGGTTGATGATGTGGTTTTGAAGATTATTGTAGATATAAACTATAAGCTAATACCCAATATAGCTACCATTAATGACCACTTATGATAATTTAATGTTTTCTTATTCCAGGAACAAGGGTCTTTGCACACACAGACTTAATTAATTCCACCTTCCATCCTTTAAGGTAACTATCATTCATTTTCATTTACAGAGGAGAAAACTAGAGCCCTGAGAAATACACAATTTGCTCAAGGACATATATTTAGAAAGTAGCAGAGTGGGGATTTGGACCCTGCTCAGTTTAACTCCAAGACCTGAATTGTAAGAAAAATAAAATGTTTAAATCACAAGAATGTTTATTACGAACACAGATTACTACCACTGGGTTGTTGGAAAAGTCATGATGTATTTTTTTCTGTTTTTCTATGCAAAAATGCATCATGACTTTTCCAAAAGCCCAATATTTTATCTATAAACATGGAAAATAAGGTATCAGAAATTTATATTTTCCCACTGAAAACCATGAAAAAATCAAACATGTAAAAGTTTCTTATGTATGATAGGTTAAAAATGCTAAAAATTCTTATTAGGTATGGAATATTGGTGCTACCATCAGCCTGGGTGCATTCACCCCAAGAAAAGAGTGACCTTTCAAAAATCAGTTGTTTTTGGTCTGTATCTTTTCCTATACTGATATGTTGCCTAGCTGACATAAGGGTATGAGGGTTAAGAGTCTGAGGGATTATGGCCATAAAAAGAGGAACTGGACTTAATGTTTTAACTATAATTTTTTCCTGTCACATCTGTCCTCTCAAATGGAATCCCCTATTAAACTGAAACTTGTGATGTCTTTAGATTTTTTAGTAAAATACTAAATAATTTCATTAATCTTTCTACTTATGTACTTAAATATCTTGTAAATACTATTTTAATCTTGCATTAAACTGGATAAAATGTTGAATATGCTCTTTTTGAAGTAGAAAAATATTATTTTGCCATATTTTGTTGCCTTGTGGAAGTCTGGAAACAAGTCAGGATGTTTATCAATCTTGGATTTTATTTCTACACAAGATGGTGAAAGACAGAGAAGAAATTGCTTTTTTAGAATAGAGACCAGAATGAATTCTATAGTCTCTCCAGTCTCCTCCATCATTTTTAGGACGTGTATTTAGAAAGCATATATGCATAGTTGAGTGCTTTTCAGAAACAAACAAACAAAAACATTGTGCTGTGTTAACCTAGTCCTTTCTGAAATACAAACCCCTTCCAAAGCTGTGATCTTTATCTTGTCAACACTGGTGGTTGTCATGTACTCAGTAAATTTTTATCTGCTTAAGAGGAAAGTATGGCAATCATTTCAGTGAGGCCTAGCACAAAGCTCAAGCAACTTTGAACTAAGTGAGCTATTCCCAAGGACTCTTGCCTTCTTTCTTCACAGATTTCTGGAACCACAAACTTTCATCTCACAATTAGTACAATCATAATAGTTTGCGTTTCCATAGCATTTTGGAATTTATAAAATCTCTGCACACCATTGCCTAATGTAATCCTCCCAACGGCCCTAAGAGGTCAGTCCTATTAACCCCATTTTACAGATGATGAAACTAGATTTATAGAGTTTATATAACTGCCATTGAGGGCAATCACGGGTCTAGTTTTTCTCATAAAACACACTATGACTTTTAATATACTTCCAATTGCCTGACTCCTACACATGGCACAACTTATTCTCAGGCTAGCACCTTGTTTCCAGATGTCCAACTGCCTTTTCCATGTTATACCCATCACATTTCTTTTAGTCATACTCTGTGACCTGATGACTCAATGTCCCTTGTGTTCATTCTCTCCTTTCTCATAATAAAATCCCCACATTTCAGGTGGGTGTGGCCAACTAGGGATGCCCAAGCTCCTTACTATCAGGTGTGAGTGAGTGACTAGATTCTGTCATGACATGAGTGGAAATGCCAAAACCAATTCCTGAATTATCCCTTAAAGAGTGTCACCTTTCTTCTTTTCCACATCGATTGGTTGCAATGTGGATATGGCAGTGAGCCATTGTAAACTATGGGTAGGAGGGTGCAAGGTGTTGGCAGGACATGAGATGGAAGGAGGCTTGGTTTCTGGTATACAGAAGCCACCAGAGGAGCCAGACAATTACATGAAGGAAATGTAATTTGTATCTTGCTAAAATCAGCTATTTTGGGTGTCTGGACTGTTGGACTTACATCCTAATTAATACATGTATAACTGAATATACAGAAACAACCTGGGTGGCTACATAAGAGGAATTCCTGAAAAGATGGGACTATGCTTTGTTTGTTTGTTTCTTGAGAGGGACAGAATGAAAGACAGAGGTCTTGCCATGCCCTAATTC